CCTCAACAATGCTAGAATAAAAAGATAACAAATTTGTTAAACATGAACGGCCATTTATAAAACCATGTTGCGACTCAATTATTAATTTATGTTTTTCAAGATGAAGACGAATTTTATTTGCTATTATAGATTCGAGTAACTTTCCCACAATAGACGTTAGGCTAATTGGTCGATAGTTAGACGCAAGTGATCTATCTCCTTTCTTAAAAACTGGTATCACATTAGCAACTTTCCAAAACTCTGGCACTCTGCCTGACTCTATTGATTTATTAAATATGGTTGACAGTGGGTCACAAAGCTCCTCTTTGCATTCTTTAAGCACCCTAGCAAACACTTCATCCGGCCCTGGGGATTTGTTTGGTTTGAGTTTTACTATTTGTTTAAGAACATCCTCCCTGGTAACTGCTAAACTCGTCAACCTGTCCTCGTCCCCACCCACATAGACTTGTTCCACGGCAAATTGGTTATGTTATGGCAAATTGTTATGTTACACGGAAATTGGTTCCACAAATCAACAACCCTGTTACCCCAACCAATATTTACCCATATCTTTCCTAAATCTAAACTTATCTAATTTATAACCATTGTTTCGTGTTCCATTATGTGCTGATACTTGTAATGCCCTATGAATATCCCTTTGTTATGCCCATTCATCCACTTGTACACCTCTATCATGTCAACCCTAATTTTTTGCCTTTCTAGAGAATGTAAATTAAGCTTTGTCAATCTCTCTTCATATGACAGGTTTCCAATTTGGGGGATTAACTTTGTCATCCTACGCTGGACGCGTTCTATGGAATTTATATTTATTGCTGAAAATATATTTTTCAGTTATATCTTACTGGATATAATGAGCAGGCGATTACATTAAATTATTTCCTGGTGGTCCCCAGCCCTCCGTCTGTCCTGGACGGAGACCATCTCACCCTCCACCATGGCCGATGTGGCATGTGCCCTTTCCATCTGGTTTGATCTATGCAAGCTCTACACTGTCTTGTGGGCAGGGAAGCTGGTATATATTTGGGTTGACACGTTTGCTTTCCTGTGGATGTAGGGGGGGGTGCTCGTTTGGGTCCTTTTAAGCCTTATGGGGTATCTTAGGTGCCAGGCGTGGTTTGCCGTGGAACAATTTGGGCACTTTGCTTGAACTGGCTGATTAGCCAGTTCTTGTGTTTATCAAGGCAAATTTTGGTGTAGTTGGATCTGGCTGCAGATTCCACACCTCACTGGGCGCTGGCAGCCGTACTTGTGATGTCCAAATCTCTGAAAACTGAAGCAACTGAAGGCCTGTATTAGAACACGCCCCAAATGCCAAGATCAAGCTTCTCTGGAATTTGTCCTTTTACAGTGAGAAGGACTTGAAGGGTTTACTGCTTCGTGGATTTTACGTGGCATCTTTCTGCTGATAACACATAATTTAACTTTTCTAAATGAGTTAGGGCCATGTGCAAGGGATAGTGGAGGACAATGATTTTCCTCTGGCTTGAGTTCGTCGCATTTTCTGTAATTTTTAAAAATCCTTACAGCTGTTTCGTCTTTGGGCCTCACTATATTCGCCTTTGAGATTTGGCTTTGCTCTGATCTTCAACTTGGGATACTCTTTCTCAAGGCCCACTACTGTGGCGCTCGAAGAATTGCCATCAGCATGCTACACCTTGAAGACTGGCAGTGGGGATTTTGTCTGGATAGTTGGAGAGTTTATCGATAGAGGAATTTTTTCTTGATAGGTCCCCGTGGAGTGGTTCCTCCTGTTGGCTTTGGTCACAGGATGGAAAATGTGATCATTGTCGGAACTGGAGAGTTTCTTCCTTTTGTAACTGGGAGCAGCAACGCTGGTTCGCTCACAATTGATCTAGTGGTCCATACTATCGTCCAGATGCTCTCAGGTCGAGCTGCTGACTGGAGTGATGAGGATATACTAAGTGCTCAGCGCGCATTTAACCGTCAGTCCTTACTATGTGGCTGGTATCGCGGGGGAAGATACTGCTTGACAGTATTTATGAGTGTCCAAAAGCTGGACACTTTTTCTTACCAGAAGAGTGGCAGGGTTGATGGCTTCAGGCTGGTAACTGTAAGATTCAGGAACTCTTAAAGCTCTTCTAATGTCGTTGATTGCTTCACATTCTAGGAGATAGTAAAGTAGTGTTTTTTCTGTGATTATTTGGCAGAAGATGCATTCTCACTCTCTGGGTTCACTAATTTCCCAGTTGCCTCTGTAACCTAGTCTGTATAACCGAACTGCTATTTCCCTGTGGATTCCTTTTGGGGAATTTAACTTGTCTAACCTGGTGGCCTGAAGACACCTTATTGCACTTAGTACTGATACTGTACACCTAGTACTGATACTGTGCACTTAATACTGATACTGTGCACTTAGTACTCATACTGTGCACTTAGTACTGATACTAAACACTTAGTACTGATAATGTGCACTTAGTATTAATAATGTGCATGGAACTCAGTGTACTTATATCGTACTTTGTGTACTGATAATATGATCAGCGTACTAAACAATTAACCTAGTGTACTTAGAATATGCTAATTTTACATAAAATATAGTGAACTAAAAATATGCTTAGTGTACTTATAATGTACTCAGTGTTCTGAAAATGTGTTCGGTGTACTTATAAACGTTCTCAGTGTTCTGTACTCAGTATACTTCAAATATACTCAGTGTACTTAAATGTCCTAAGTGTACTGCAAATTTCCTCAGTGCACATATAATATATTCAGAGTACAGTAAATATAAATGGCCTCAGTGTACTGCAAATGTCCTAAGTGTACATATAATATATTCAGAGTACAGCAAATATTCTCACTGTACATATAATATGCGTAATGCACTAAAAATATGCTCAATATTCTCAAAATTTACTCGCAATAAACATGTAATTATCCTCCACATGAAAATTCTTTTTGAATTTCCATACTCTATGGAAAACTTGTAGTTGTTGTACTCTGCTTCCTTAAGTTACCAATATTTAAGTAATAGAATCCAACCAGAGAGCACAGGAAGAATGCAGCCTTTATAATACATCACAAAGTGGTAGGCTCTACTCCCCCCCCCCCCCAGAAGAGGTGAATAATGATCCCGTGCTTTGACTGTGATAATCATTTATTCACACTCATTAACTGTACAGTTCTCAAAATAGCTAAAATATGGTCATCCTGGAAAGAACATTCCCAAAGTAGTCTGATTAATTAGTTGGCGAGTGCTAGTGACGTGACACGCAATATCAAAGCTCCTGCACCTGCCAGGTCGTTGCCTAGCCAGCCACGCATTGCCAGAGTGCTGCCCAAGAAGCTCTGCCCAAATCAGGATCATAATAATGATACAAGATATCGTTGGCAAGCTACCCAATGGCTGCTGCTTACCTATAGCCATGTTTCCTTTACAAGTTACTTGAGATCCAATGTCTTGATCAGGAGTATTGAAATTGATTTTGCCTGCTGCTCCTGGGTGAATGCATCACTCATCTTTAGCATGATGTTTGAAATAATTTGCTTGACATGCTACTTGAGATATGTTTTCTTAACAGCGCTCACTAAGGTACACTTTTGAAATTGTTGACAGCAACCCGAGAGATGATTCACGGGTCGAGGCCGAGCTTGCGAGGCGTTGCGGGCGAGGACTGTAAGTTGGGCAGCGCTCGGCCGGCTGGGACGACCATGAACGTGGATATCACAGTCCTTGAAAATGGTGCATCGGTAGAGCAAGGAACACATTAGGTGAACTATTATGAGGATAGAAAATAAAATTTAGTCTAATATTTCAAGTAGACGTAACAAAGCAGTAAGAGACCAGCTGCCTAGAGTAACAAACAAAGGGAGTGATGAAGAGGGTACAAGGGGGCGGTGAACCAACCACCATTATATGGGGCCGATCACACCACTGACAACCACACACACACATATATATTACCACATTACTGATGATGGCGTCTTGCGTTAGCTGCTAAAAACGACTTTCTGTAGTAAAAATGTTGGCAAATATATTATGTTAGGTCGTCAGTGTTTACAACATATTTTTTTTATACAATATATATTCGGCGTTATTTTCTGAAGTGGCAATGCTAGCAAGTACGAAAACAACGATGATGCAATAATGCTGACAGGAAGATACACCTTGCACAGTTTCATTGTTAATCTTCTCCTTAGGGACTGAATACTCACGTCTCCACTCCACCACCTAGACGCTGCTCTTCGCAAGTAAGAGGTAAAACATCAACATCAAAATCGTTAATGTTTACAAGTCTGTAATAGAGGACAATCTCAGATTTGTACTTTGATCATTTCTCCTCGAATGTTTAACCTCTCATAACTCCAAACTAGAAACCACATTACAGATCAATACAGAAATATGATTGGCGCTTCCTGTCTTACTCTGATTGAGTGTGCGAGGAATCCATACTCTGGTGGAGGTGTGTAGAGTGAATGGGTCGGGTGTAGAGTGCCAGGGGCCAGGTGTATAGAGTGTCAGGTGCATAGTGATGCCAGAGTGAGGTGTGTAGCGTGCCAGGGGTCAGAACCTAGAACTCGGCTTCCCATTGAGAAACACTTAGAGCCGTCCTAAACAGAGGCGCAGAAGTCTCTTGGCACCGACCACAGTGACCTGTTGTGTTAGACCTACCATCAGATGTGGCAATAGTCATAAGGCCCGAACACAGCAACAGATAACATCTTGAACAGAATTACTTCAATGTCAACGAGATGACATAGAAGATGCTATGTCTGATGATATAAGTTGCTGACGGGATGAACTGCACGACTGTTCTTCTTCTTGCTAGCACGAGCAGTGTGCATGATCACGACTGGTCTGTTGGGGAAAGATCCTCAGTGACACATCTCACCGGGGCCCCCAAGCCTCTGCACCGAGCTACATGAGCGTGTATATATATATATATATATATATATATATATATATATATATATATATATATATATATATATATATATATATATATATATATTATATATTAACTTCGTTTTTTAATCCAGAATGATACTGTGCTTTTTTTAAGACATTCATGGCTAGCATTAAATCGCAAAGATATATTTCACCGGAAGAATATCCTGAACACAAGGAATATGATGAAAAAGCGTACTCGGGGAGGTAATCAATATATAATTTTTCAGTAACTGCAGGTGATCCTTCCCCTCTATTTTCCACTATGGAGGAGCTGATCAACCAGAGGCTCAGTCGACTGGGAAGCAATGACGAGGGCTGCCCTTCAGCGTCTGGACTCAGTGACCAAATGTGCTGTCGGAATCTTCCTTAAAAATGACTTCGTGGGGTTAAGTCCTTAAGAGGCAAATCACTTCGGTTTAGAGGCAAAGCAGTTCAGTGTTTCAAAAACGTGACATAAATGTAATCCTAGAGCAGAGTGGGCGGCGTGTTGGTGGGCGGGTCGAGGAGCGGCTCACTCCCCCAGCACGTCCATCATCAACCTATTGAAGGAGGCCGTCTGGGCAATCTTCTTTCTCCCGCCGATGGCGTTCGTCTGCAAGAGGAAGTATATCAGAGTGGAAGGGGGAGGGTGGGTACTGTGTTTCTGCCACTTGACGCAACACTCGGGGCACCAACACATTAGGTTCCAAGTGTTCCCACTTGACGCAACAATCTGGGCACCAACATATGAAGTGCCAAGCTCACCTCTCAGAGTCTAATGTGTCATAAGGAGAAGTCGGTGGAACACGCGGCTAATCACAAAGTTTAAATCGAACTCTGAATTTCGTGCAGATATATTTACACAATGCTTTACACAAGTAATTTAATCGAAGTGTTCATTAGTCGTAATGGATCAAGAATTCTTTGACAAAGTGTATTTTTTAACAATAAGTGCTGATCTTAGTGAGCTGTACCGAAGACTCATATTTGTGAGCACTGTAGAAAATAATACAACTATAGGGTCCAGTTTAATTACTAGTAACTCTCATAAACGTACATATTATACAGTGATCTATGCACTAGGTATTAATAATACACTACAAAAAAGCATAAGATTATCCAATCATTTGTGAGTAAACCTGAAAAATAAATCATAAGTCTAAGAAACAACCTGAAAAAATAAAAAGGAATAAGCATTAAAACTTAAAATTTAACTATATATAAAATACCTTAGAAATAAACGATAAAATCTGCAAGAAATCATTTAACCAAGAACCAGAGACGGGACGGCCGGAGGGAAAGGTTGAAGTTGGTGAAAAGCTGGTGGAGCAACACTAGTGCCGCTATGTTGATGTGCCTTGCTAGTGCCACTATGTTGATGTGCCTTGCTAGTGCCACTATGTTGATGTGCCTTGCTAGTGCCGCTATGTTGATGTGTCTTGCTAGTGCCACTATGTTGATGTGCCTTGCTAGTGCCACTATGTTGATGTATATTACAAGGTAGTTTTCTACCAGCAAGTGGTACAAGTTGATAACATTAGTACAGATAACACACATTACCAGAAGGATTAGCCAGTAGTCGGACTTGTATGCGATACCAACAAGTGGTACTAAATAACGATATCAACAAGTGGTACCTGAAAGTGAAGCAATGTGTCCCCCAACTAGTGGTGATAGCAAGAGTAACTAGCAAATGGAACTTGTAAGTGGTTCCAAGAGACGGCTCCAACACATGGCACAACCAAGAAGCACACTGACTGTGACGGGGAACGTCGGAAGTAAAGGATGGATGGATACATAGATGGATGGATGGATGGATGGAGGGATAGGTGGGTGGGGAGGGATGCAAGGACAGACCTTAGGGCCTCCTGGTCTGCGAGGCTGGTGATACGTCTCGAGCTGAGTGGCGTAGTAGTCGTAGTCTTCCTGGGGGAGGAGGAGGCTGGTCAGGGCTCCACACCACCTCCAACTCTCACCTCTTCCACCTTCCTCCACACTTGAAACACACTGGCACTCGCCTGAACCACAATAGGCACACGTCTGAACTACGGATGGCGCCTTTCTAAACCATGCAATGCGCCCGTCTGAACTTTGCCTGGTGACACCTTGCACCTGTCTAAGCAGATCCTAGCACATACCTGAGCAGCGTCTGACGCTCATCTGAAATACCCCTGGTTCCTGTCCGAGCCGCGCCTTGCACCTCTCTAAAGAACACTTGTCAGCCTTGTAAAGCAGGGGCCAGATTCACAAAGCAGTTACGCAAGCACTTACGAACGTGTACATCTTCTCAAACTTTGGCTGCTTTGTTTACAATTATTAAACAGTTAATAAGCTCCGAAGCACCAGGAGGCTGTTTATAACAATATCAACAGTTGATTGGGAAGTTTTCTTGCTTGTAAACTGTTTAACAATTTAACCAAAGCCGTCAAAGATTGAGGAAAGATGTACACGTTCGTAAGTGCTTGCGTAACTGCATCGTGAATCTAGCCCCAGACCCGTAAGATTCAACCCGTTTGAATCACACATGCCATTTTAAAGCGTAGTTGGCATCGCCTAAACTACTCATTAGACCTGTTTAGATCACACCTCATATCTCTTATCTATCTTATTCACAGCTGGTACCATTTAAACAAGTTCCAATACTTCTTCACGCTAGCCAACACTGGAATATATATATATCTAATCCTATAAAAGAGAATGTTTATTTGTCTGCCCAAACGTTGGAGGCCAGACGCTTGTGGCTAGCCTCATCTAAATTCCCAAAGGGAATGGTTTGGGAGTATGGGATTAAGACAGGCTAGTTTGGGTCGCCAGAATGCAAAAGAAAACATTGTGCCAGAGTCACATTCAGACCCACACGATGATTTTTGTCACTGCCCACCGGCAACACAGCTAAATATTTTGAAAACAAACATTTCAATACAATTGTTTCTTATACACCCTTATTTACTGATGTTGGGAACAGTAAGAGAATATTCATGCTATTCATAATTTGCCCGTAGTCGCATAAAATAGACATATATTCTATTTTATATAGATTTTTAATTGTTAGTTTGATATAAATATAAGCCCCTGTAATTTATTGATAGTTTTGCATGTTCAGTTCAGCTGCGTAAATCTACTATGGTATTATGAAACTATTAATAGTACTGATATTTCTTGTCTATTTGAAGTGATCTGTAAGAGTATCACCTCCCACTAAACACAACTTTACCTTCCACAATTAAATTTCCTTGTTTAAGTAATATAAGACAGTATTGCCCATATCAAGCTGGGGAGCTTTTCATCAATGTCAATTATAAACCAAGTCATTTATTTAGCAAGCCTTCCTTATTAGCATTCAATAGTTAAGTATCTTTGGCTCTTATGGAGAGGTTCCTATTAAGGTCAATTTAGACCAGTTTTAAATTATAGCAAACTCAGCACATTCTGAATCTTATTCATTTTTGTCGACCACATCAAAATAGATAACTACTAGGAATAATTATATATAAAAAAGAATTAACGTTAATGATATAATTAACAATTATTGCTGAATTATTTAAAAATAATAAGTCTTTATCAATGATCTTATACGTGATTAACTTGTGAAGTTCCCATATCTAACACTATTGTCAGATTTTTTTCTGGGGAGTTAAGAAAGACACACATAACATCATATATTAACCTTGAATATGTTATGAGAGCCCTTTACAGGCTGCGATGGACTAGGTCCTTACCTCGTACATTGGAATCTTGACGCGGTCGGTGGTCATCTGGTGGTTGACTGGCATACTCTCAGCTAAGGTAGCGGAGAGCACAGCAGAAGGGCCCGTCCTGGGTGGAGTGAGGAAGCTTCGAGTAACGTTGTCCGTCTCGCTGGCGGATCTCATCAGCGCTGGCAGGAACTCAGACACCGGAGACCGAGGGCCTGGCAGCGCGTTGGTTCTTTGCGCCGGTCGCTGGCCTGGTTTAGGGGCCACGGGCGCTGTGTAAACTTCCGAGTAGATGGGATCGTGTTCCTTTAAGGCATTATAGTTCGCAACCCTCTCGGGGTCAATGGGCGCGTCGGTCTCCTGAAGCGCGCGCCATGTGGCACTTGACTGGGGATTATATTCTTTGGAAGGGGTGAGGGTCACCTGCACGTGCTTGGTGGCGGGGAATGGGGAGCTAGGCGGGAAGAGAAAAGGCGGGAATTATGCACAGGTTAGCATGCAACAAAATGCTCACCAATGAGTCAGGACAATACAATAAACTTTAGACATTATGTTTAAAGATAAGTACTTATTAATAATGTCCGGTTATAAACTTTTTTTTAATTAGGGGTAATCTTCTAATCATCGCTGTAGCTATTATCTTGAAAGTGGGAATTAAAATCAAGTTGACAATTAGTGTCAAGTAGGGTCCGGCGCGTGCGCAGCTGCGCCATCCTAAAGGCAAGACATGGGGTTCCAAATGCAGCATCATTAGCTTTATAAACATTTATATATTAGCATGCTTTAGTGGTTAAAGCGTGGATGCGGAGCAAGGGTAATGGGAGCGGAGAGGCAGGTTAAATGGAGTAGACTTTGGATTCAGTGGGGCCATGCTCCGTGATGAGCTGGCAGTTCTCCTCCTCGTGGATGATCTGCCAGGTGGCGCTCTGCTCCGGGTCATAGGTCAGGGGCATCCCGCGGAGACCCGCGTGCTTCGTGGGCTTGTTTACGCTGCTCACACAACACCAGCCACACCAGGGAACACGAGTCACAGCACGTGGCAGCAGCAGGGGGTGGAGGCAGCCAGGGCGTACAGCAGGCACGCATACAACCATAAGCCATGCCATTGTATAGGCCGGGGATGTGCGATTCACGTTGTTTAAATAGTAATGACGAAACATTTCAGTTTTGAAGCATAGGTACGTATACAATGGTGCAGACGCCAACAGTGTGTATCGCACAGGTAGGTGTGAGCGTGGAGTATGCGGGCCAGGCAGAGTTGGGTGCAGGGATAGCCAGACAGTGGAGCATGGTACGGGAAAGGCAGGAGGGAGTGGAAACCGGTGTGGCACAACACGCACCACTCAAAACAATTTTAACCCATTTCAAAATATTCAGGTGTAAAAAAAATAGATTAAAAGTATAGCGAGGGAGCAGAGCAAAACCGAGCATGCGAGACCACGTAACACGGACACAATGTATAGCCACGAACCAGACGAGATGACAGGCCGAGTAGGGAGGAGTTAGGTGTGAGTAGTGGGGAGTGGGGAGTGGGAGGAGGGCCACACAAGGGGGGGGGGTTAAGGTGCAAGACGTGGATGTGACCATGACGAGCGTGGCGCAGTGGTGACGAGGGCGGCCGAGGTTGACACAAGTTGTTGAGGTTGACGGTGTTACAACATCCGTCAGCCACCCAGGAGGAAATAGAGAGTGACAGAATATTAGTGAGTTGAGCTACAGCTGCAAGCGGGATGTGCTGAAAAAATCTACTTATGTGGCAAGGAATATCGAATATTAGAGTCAGAATGCTTCACGAGGCTTAATTCCGTTTGTCTCTTGACTGGGAAGAAAAGCATCGAGAGCTAACCTGAAGCTGATACTCACTGATTTCTGCCACAATATTAAACTACATTCCTCTATATCATTATAAGACAACTAGTTGTGTTGGCATATACATGTACAGTACACCCTAACAGTAGTCAGAACACTCTAACTCCTATACACTGAGCAAGAAAAACATTTCTAAAGTTTGAAGGTTACAGCTATAAATATCTATGCATAGAGACAATCACTTTGGCATCTGGGTACTAGAAGCGGACGGCAAAGTACTAGCATGCCCTGTTAAACCACCCGCCCGCCTTCTCTATCTCACTACCAACCTTATCAATTACCACACCCAAACTTCCTATAATGCAAAAAAAAAAAAAAAAAAAAAAACCACAATGCAAATTTACAATATATAAATAGCATATGATTCATAATTGTTTTCAGGGTTTGGGTACCCAAACTAGTGCGCTAAAATCTGAAAACAGAGGTTCAAATAATAGATCTAAAATCAAATAAAAATAACCGGGAAAATAGTGTAATTTAGAGTTTGTGAGGAAAAATATTTGTCACATAAGCTTATTTATATGTATCCAGCTTTACCACCTTACCGGCCATCAACACACATAAAAAGTACCACTAAGTCATAAGTGCCACTGAGAGTCATCAGTGTTCTCAGGAGACTTTGGCAGAACAGTGTTAGCATGTATGGGTGGCAAAGCCAATCCAGGGTAAAGATTCCACACAGCTGCATTCATGCTGATACAGAGGTCTAGTAACTCATGACTTCTAAATCACTTTCTTAAGGTCCTCTGCCTACTACTGGAACACTGTGTCAATTATTATTAGAGACTATGTATGTCAGCAATAGGCATGTCTCCTGTGCCTTGAAAGGACATCAATATAGATATATTACAGGTAACTAAGTACTGTATATATATATATATATATATATATATATATATATATATATATATATATATATATATATATAATATATATATATATATATATATAAATGTCGTACCTAGTAGCCAGAACGCACTTCTCGGCCTACTATTCAAGGCCCGATTTATATATATATATATATATATATATATATATATATATATATATATATATATATATATATATATATATATATATATATATATATAATATATATATATAATATATATATATATATATAAATGTCGTACCTAGTAGCCAGAACGCACTTCTCGGCCTACTATTCAAGGCCCGATTTGCCTAATAAGCCAAGTTTTCCTGAATTAATATATTTTCTCTAATTTTTTCTTATGAAATGATAAAGCTACCCATTTCATTATGTATGAGGTCAATTTTTTTTTATTGGAGTTAAAATTAACGTAGATATATGACCGAACCTAACCAACCCTACCTAACCTAACCTAACCTATCTTTATAGGTTAGGTTGGGTTAGGTAGCCGAAAAAGTTAGGTTAGGTTAGGTTAGGTAGGTTAGATAGTCGAAAAACAATTAATTCATGAAAACTTAGCTTATTAGGCAAATCGGGCCTTGCATAGTAGGCTGAGAAGTGAGTTCTGGCTACTAGGTACGACATATATATATATAATATATATATATATAATATATATATATATATATATATATATATATATATATATATATATATATATATATTATATATATATATTATATATATATATTTATATATATATATATATTATACATATATATATATATATATATATATATATATATATATATATATATATATATATATATATATATATATATATATATATATATATATATATATATATATATATATATATATATATATATATATACATATGCATCCATCTGTCTTTCCACCAATCTATCTGCCTATGTAACTGTCAGTCTATCTATCAGTCTCATATATCCATCCATATATCCATCTAGTCATCCATATATCTATTCAAATATTTATTTATCCGCCTATCTCTCCATGTATCAACCAATCCATCTATTTATCCATCTGGCCATACATTTATCCATTCATCTATCCATCCATCTATGCATCCATCAATTTATCCACCCATCTCTTTGTCCATCCATCCGGGTCAGCCTAAGCCCAAGCACATAGCCTTCAACTTTTTGGAGACCATATACTCTCTAATTCGAATCCAGACTTTTATGATTCGAGCCCAGGGAGTGTAAAACAATGTCAAATCCCCCTGACATGCTTTACACTCCTCTGCCGGCCAGTGTAAAAGAACCTGTTTGTAATATTGGCTCAAGAACCTTAGAGCATACAGGAAACCTACCAACATTTTTCCATATGTTCATTATTTCTCTGAACATAGATATATCTATTTTTTCCTCCAAATGTCTAAGAGCTGTTCGAATTGTTAGTCCTGAGTTCTTAGATAAGGAGATTAAAAATATATATTTTTGCTATCCGGTAAGTTTCTTGAAAGCTTGTCGAAGCAAAGCTTAATGTACATAAAAACATTATGTTTGTATTTTTTGTAATGTCTTTGTAATCTTAGTTGGTAATTCAAAAATGGTCAGATTTGTTTAGTATCATATGTCAAAATTAATTTCAAATAATGTAACATTACCCCAGGAACTAATGCTAAGTGATCTCACCCAGCATGCTTCTGGAGGCAGAGGAGGAAATTGTCACACAACTGGATCCAAATAAGACAAAAATATCCTTGTTACCGGTGAGTTGAACAAAGCGCTATTATATACCACACCCAGCCAGGCACACACGTGGTGGGGGGAGCGGGGGGGAGGTTCAAAACAAACCATCTACTTTCAACTGACATGAAAGTGATTTCTCGGAGGTAGTAACAGGCCACAAGATCAGTTGGTAACCTGTCACAGCATATGTTGGGGATTTGTAGACAAGAGTTAAGGGGCTGAACGGCACACATAGCAGGGCAGGTTGAGTTATAGCAAGCACGTAGTATACCATCCCCGGGGTCCGAGGTGTATCATGGTGTAGCCCTCATGGTGTACACATCAAATAATCATTAAAGGTTGATGCAGCGAGACAATGTCAGGCATCATCGGTAGTGAAAGGGAAACCGGAAGGAAAAAAATATGCACTTTGCAAAGCACAATAAAGACTTATTGATATTAAGTTCTAGATATTATTATTGATATTATTGATATAAATAAAGACTTATAGGATATTGATACAATAAGAAGTGTGTGAGCCATGACTACAGTACTAAGGAAGTAGACAGCCTCTCCAGTACCGTCATATAAAATATCTTACACTTTTATATGTCATCATTATGTTCAAATAGCTCCGTAATGACAACAGGAAATAGTGTGGTATAAGTGTCTTGGGATCAAGAGTTATAAACATTGACAATTGAAGGTGGTAACAACGGGATTACTAGACGAACACCAAGGTTGTACACACAGGTGTGAGTAGGCAGGTAACACAGCTCAAGATATTAAGCTTTCCAGCGGCCACAGTCCTAAGTGCACATTTGGCTTCCATCGCCAAAGACGACACGCGCTTGTTCCACACAATTGCTACTCTGCTTCAGCCTCGTTCAAGAGAGCCATAGTTAAACTGTCTCACGTGAAACATACACTTCACAGTGAAGGTCCCAACCCATTGTGCTGGAAAAGCTCAAGATCTTGGTAGCAGTATGCATGATGACTACGCTAGGACACCGAGCTCGTTAAACAGGAATAAATACAAGCATTCGACCTTGTCTTGAATTCTTGGTAAGAGCTCTTCGCACAGTTAGTTGACATTAGCTACGCCTACTATAGTCATTCTGATCAGTCAGTGCACGGGAAAATTGAGTCCACTTGCCTCACGTGTCTAAGGGCCTTGGCGGCATCAGCAGCAGCGGAGGAAGCAGCCCTGGGAATTTCAGATGGCAGGGAGGCCAGGATTAGCTTTGCTGTCGCTTTTACTAATTTTAAAACACACTGTTAACAAAGCTGCCGCCCAGCACAGTCGTAGCATTAAGCGTAATAAATAAGCTTAGTTTAAAAAAAACACAAAAAAGAGGACAGCGAATGAAGAGTTAAACAGAAAAAAGGTAAATGTGAAGAGTGTGTTGATATATTGGAGAGCGTGCAGGGGTAGACTGGGGTCAGACCCGGACTTGCTGCCTCACCCACCACCATATACAACCAGTGGGCGAGGCTGGAGGTCGTAGCTCTTGTCTATCTAGGGTAGTGTCCCATCAAAGGGTTTGTTGATAACGAAATTTATAAAGGATTTGTTTCCGAATTTGTACATGGTAAATAACAAAAATTAACTTTAGGTTTATGAGTAAAATAACATAAAATAAAAAAAAAATTAGGAAACAAAAAATAATTCAAAAACGAACCTCTGTTTCCGATAATCCTCTTGAAAAAGAATCACGACTTTTTCAAACCACAAATCTGAAAATCCCGCAGCACACACCTGTTTCTTGCACTTACATGGCGGCTTAACACTTAAAGACGCACCTCTTCCCTCTTCCTACAGTGCTTATTGATATTTTAAAGATACCGTAAATTTATGGGCTAAATTATGATTGTTAAATGACGATATTCGTATCTAGTTGTACTGTATATAGAGAGCAAGGTTGAGTTGAACCAGACCAGTAAGACATGATAAACGCTCTACGGTAGAAGTTGCAAGTTCCCAAAAGGGACACAAGTCCCTAAGGGGCTGGGGGGGGGGAGTGCTTGTGACTAACTGTTCCTCGACCAAATATTAACAGCAGTCTATGAGATTTTGGAATATTATTATGGAAAGAATAACTTCAAATCCTTAAAACTACTGCTTGTTGAAACTAATTTGGTTCAAATTTAAATTAAGGGAAATTGTCATGGCACTGATTAACTGGGAAATATGAATCTTATAAAATTCTTCTCTAATGAAATATTTATGAAACGAATGAATATATTAAAATAAATATCGATAAGCTGAATTGTTACTGTCGTTAGCCCGATTGTTACTGTCGTTAAGGCGCCTGACAGCTGGGTGGACAGCGCTTCGGATTCGATCCCCGGTGGAGGCGTAGATAAATGGGCAAAATGTTTCTTTCACCCTGATGCCCCTGTTACCTAGCAGTAAATAGGTACCTGGGAGTTAGACAGCTACTACGGGCTGCTTCCCGGGGTGTGTGTAACAAAAAGGAGGCCTGGTCGAGGAGCAGGCCGTGGGGACGCTAAGCCCCAAAATCATCTCAAGATATCCTCAAGATATCCTGAGATAGCTCTACATGGTAACCTGCCTGCTCGCTACCTGACCTTCCCAGGAATACTATACCCAAGGCTACTGAACACTAACCCTAAGAGTGATTGGGTGGCAAAGCATACTAAGAATACATCCAGATACCAGTTGATAAGAGTTAGGTTACAGTTGTAAGCACTACGAACCCTGCGTGAGGGAGGCCCTGGCCATAATACTCACGGGTTGATGGTCGGGGTGTGAGTTGGCGACGCTTGCATCCTCATCGCCTCCTGCAGGTTCTCCTGGGAGTAGAGTGGTAGAGGACTGTTGTACTGCTTGTTGACTAGGTTAGTGTTTGTCGCCTGTGTTGCTGTGGTGAGAGACTGCTGGGTCTGTTGGATTTGTTGCAAAGTTCCGGTAACCTGAAGGGCGGAGAGAGCATTAGACAGTGACCAAGTGGCGTAGGATACAGGGATGGATCTGTTACGTCTAATCTAGGCTCGATTGATAAGTTACCTGGACACGAGTGACTGCGACACATGTGTAAACTGAAAATATTGCATAAACAATTCTTAACAGCTGAATACGTTGAGACATTATCAAGATATTATTATTAACATACTGTAAGCCAAGTGAGAGATATCTAAAGTTGTCTGACAACCTGAACCGCTTACTGAGAATCTCTTTAATGTATTAGTACTCTACAGGTTTGCACTGTAAAATGAGACAAAATAATACTCTTTGGTTGGATGAATATAGTGTCGTTATAAACTGAAACATGACACATGACAAAAAACTAAGATATATGAAAACCAAAAGCGTATGTGAAGCATTATAATGTTAGTAAGCAGCCTAGTTCCAAGGTCACACTGCTAGAGAACGTCACTCATGCGTGTGTGTGTGTGTGTGTTTGTGGAGGGCATAAAATGTGCATATCAAGTGTATGAGTTTCATGCACGAGTGTATCATGCACATATGTAATGAGCATATGTACCCGGCCTGTATACATGCGTGTGAAGTTATGGATCAATTTGTGAAAACATGCAAGGATATATATTATTATATATATATATATATATATATATATATATATATATATATATATATATATATATATATATATATATATATATATATATATATATATATATATATATTATACTGGAATTAAAAGCTTCATGTAGACTGTAATGTTAGAACAAGACCCAGCCTTTCTGTTTGAGGCCCTGATCATGACATAATAATTCAGGTAATAACACTGGTGTCATCATGCCTTCCTTGTTTGAGAGGAACTCTGTTAAAAACATAACGACCAGTGCTAATTTATGTATAATACTGTCGTAGTTTGTTTCGTCAAGGACTTATAAAATAACTTTACAATAAAAAGAATATGATTTCTAAGTATGAACCAGCAATGTTAACCAAACCACTGAAAGCTGCAATGGTGAGCGAGCTCCCGGCCCGGACGGCCAGGGGTAAGCCAGTCAGGAGGCCCTTCCTGAGCGGAATTTGTCACTGGTGATGGAAGTTGTGGCCAGGCAAGAGGAGGAGGAAGGACCTCACGCACCCCACAATAACACACAACTTAACAAATAATAATGGATGCCAAATGAACAACCAAGAGCAAGATAAATTATGGGACTCGACCGGCGAGAAATTTTGGTTTGAACTCGAGAAACTTCCGTGAACTTAGGTTCAGTCTTATAAACTCTCGTCAACTTATATGAGTTTTCATAAACTCTCTTTAGCTTTGGGTAACGCAGATAAATTCTCATGACCTTAGAGTAACTCGGGTATACTATAGTGGACGTAGGGAAACTCAGGTGAACTCTAGTGATCTCAGGTGAACTCTAGTGAACTTAGTGCATTGAAATGTCACAATCACCCTGCCATCTTCGCATGGGGAGGCGCTCATACTCATGGGGAGGAAAAGGGGGCGCTCATCCTCGTATGAATCCTTCATGTTGTTGCACTGTTTACGTCTCCGAGGGGATCAAGGGGTTATACCCTGGTAAGGAACTGGTTGTTATGATCTGGGGGATACACGGTGGCGACCCCCTGGTATGTGAAGGGTGATCCGGGCCGAACACCAGCCAGGACTTGCCGCGACGGTAAGGATTTGACACAAGGGCTAGGACCTGACACAAGGGCTAGGACCTGACAAGTCGGCTAGGACCTGACACAAGGGCTAGGACCTGACAAGTCGGCTAGGACCTGACGATACTCACGAGAGCCTGCCTAATCCAACTAAGACCTGACCACTCCGGCTACAACGACGGCTAGGCCCTTACCATGATGGCTAGGACATGACCACGCCGGCTAGGACTACACAAAACCGGCTAGGACCTGACCGACTGAAGGCAGGTGAATGAACAAGTCCGGAAACTCTATTATTATTATTACACATCATGTCCGGATCTGCCTCGGTGACAATAATTTTATTTGTATGTCTGTCATTTAGAATCTCCATCAATCCTCGCAACTAATAGGTCGTGTTATTTACGTAATCGTAATCAACGTTACAAATGCAACCTACTATGAAAAATAACGGCTCTTTAACATCTACATTTTTGATGCGTCGAATTGAATAGGTTAGGTGGGTTGTTTGGGCTTGTACTTTTCTAGTCGGGGAGAGACGTCGTATTTTTACCGGAGTGGCAAATGTAGTGGTGAGAGAACTACGTGGTCCCGGTGGGGCCCGAAGGTCAGCCCTGAATTAAACTTTGTGGAGAGGTGGCTGTAAGCATTTATTTGTTGAGCTTACATGAGACACGGAGAGTTGAATACAAGACTAGAGCTCACATGAGACACGGAGAGTTGTATACAAGACTAGAGCTCACATGAGACACGGAGAGTTGTATACAAGACTAGAGCTCACATGAGACACGGAGAGTTGTACACAAGACTAGAGCTTACATGAGACACGGAGAGTTGTACTCAAGACTAGAGCTTACATGAGACACGGAGAGTTGTATACAGGTCTAGAGCTTACATGAGACACGGAGAGTTGTATACAGGTCTAGAGCTTACATGAGATATATCAGTGTGGTATAAAAGTCTGGAGCTTGCATAGTACATCACAATACTGTTTTCAGGTCTAACTACAACAAGTGGGAATTAAGAGACCATCCGGCATGCTGACGGGACTCAGGCCTGGGGTGTGGCACCCAGCACAAGTCATGACTCAGGCCTGGGGTGTGACACCCAGCACAAGTCATGACCCAGGCCTGGGGTGTGGCACCCAGCACAAGTCATGACCCAGGCCTGGGGTGTGGCACCCAGCACAAGTCATGACCCAGGCCTGGGGTGTGGCACCCAGCACAAGTCATGACCCAGGCCTGGGGTGTGGCACCCAGCACAAGTCATGACCCAGGCCTGGGGTGTGGCACCCAGCACAAGTCATGACCCAGGTCTGGGGTGTGGCACCCAGCACAAGTCATGATCAAAAGTTCATCAGAATTATTAATATTGAAAATAATGGCACAGAAAACCCAGGTTAAACAAAGAAAACAAAAAATAATAATAATTAACCACCACATGGCACCATAGTACAGTGAACAAGACATGAGAGGAGACAAGACTCAGGGGAGGAATTATGAGTAAGATGTGCTGGGAGGCAGGAGGGAGGACACACGAGGCACGCTGAAGGAGGGGGTGAGAGAGGCCACCGAGGGCGGTCCGGGCGCTGCTCCGGGCGCTGGGTTACTGTGGCAGGCATCAGGCGGGGTAGCGACAATTGTGCTCCACACTCACACTTACCAATTTAGACAACAGCAAGGGAGCCAGGGGGAGGGGGAATGGGAGGGAAGAAAACACAGTCAAAAGCTATGAACCAGACTCATTAATTAAAAAAAAAATCCAGACAAAAAAAATTAAAACAAAAATTATATTACATCCGGCGAAAGACAGAGGCTGTGTGCTAGAATGAGGGAGGAACTATTACGGTCCACGACATACGCTGGTTAAGCCGCGCATAGGTATAAATAGGTAAGTATTTACTCTTGACTCTCACATGGAGGGGAAGAGGGAGGTGGAGGGGCCAGCTGTGCTTGCCCTTCGCCGTTTATTTGGTAAAGTAAGAGGTTCCAACCAACAAAATTGAGTGCTATAGTTAATAGAGAATCTAACAGCTGAGATCTAAGTTTGCTTTCATGGATACCTTAACAATAAATACATTTAACAAGTAACTGCAGTAGACTGAATATATGGTTTGTTTAATTGTTTTTTAGAAGGGTAAAGCCAAAATATTTTATTGTAAACTTTATTAAAACTGGAAAACGTAGAAGAGTTTAGTTTGGAATTTTCTCCCCGTTAGTAAGCCATGATGTGTTGCCGGGGCTGATGGGGGCGTAGCTAGCACCTCACTGTGGAGTGGGGCATCTGGTTGCTGCTGCAGCTGCTAGTGCTATTGATACTGCTGCTGCTGCTGCTGCTGCTATTGATACCGCTGTTGCTGCTGCTATTGATACTGCTGCTGCTGTTCATACTGCTGCTGCTGCTGCTATTGATACCGCTGTTGCTGCTGTTATTGATACTGCTGCTGCTGTTCATACTGCTGCTGCTATTGATACTGCTGCTGCTGCTATTGATACTACTGATGCTGCTATTGATACTGCTGCTGCTGTTCATACTGCTGCTGCTGCTACTGCTGCTGCTGTTCATACTGCTGCTGCTATTGATACTGCTGCTGCTGTTCATACTGCTGCTGCTATTGATACGGCTGCTGCTGTTCATACTGCTGCTGCTATTTATACTGCTGCTGCTATTTATACTGCTGCTGCTATGGACTGCCATTCCTGCTGTTATAGGTCCCATTCCTGCAGCTCCTGCCGAGTGAAGCTGCTGCTCTTGTTTATGTTGGCTGTCGTGACAGTGATCCTAACTACTCCTGTTAATGGTGCATTAATCACTATAATACCTATGGTTCATCGATTGTTGACGTATGTGCTGTTCCTCCTCCACCCGTTGCTCCTATTCTACCCGCTGCTCCTCTTCTACCTGATCCGGCCGAAACTACCAGGTTGATACTGATAAAGTAGTACTATCGTGAACTATACTGTCATGGATAGTACAGTACTCATAACCATCCATAACAGTGTGGCGCCAGGTGATGGGTGGGGGTGGTGTTGAGTGTGGCGTCAGGTGATGGGTGGGGGTGGTGTTGAGTGTGGCGCCAGGTGATGGGTGGGGGTGGTGTTGAGTGTGGCGCCAGGTGATGGGTGGGGGTGGTGTTGAGTGTGGCGTCAGGTGATGGGTGGGGGTGGTGTTGAGTGTGGCGTCAGGTGATGGGTGGGGGTGGTGTTGAGTGTGGCACCAGGTGATGGGTGGGGGTGGTGTTGAGTGTGGCGCCGGGTGATGGGTGGGGGTGGTGTTGAGTGTGGCGTCAGGTGATGGGTGGGGGTGGTGTTGAGTGTGGCGTCAG